ATTAGCAGTCTCGGAGATAGCGGTAAGTGGGATCTTGGTTCGAGAAGAGCAAGGTACGCAGTTCCCTATTTATTATGTTAGTCAAACTCTAGGAGAGGCCGAAACTCGATACCCACATTTAGAAAAATTAGCGCTCGCAAGCGCCTATAGGAAATTAAAACCGTACTTTCAATGTTACCCAATTTGTGTTGTAATCACCTATCCCCTTCACAACATTTTGCACAAACCCGAACTCTCGGGTCGATTGGCCAAATGGGCAGTCGAGATCAGCGGGTATGATATCGAGTATCAACCCCGAACAGCGACCAAGTCTCAAATCTTGGCAGACTTCGTGGCCGACTTCATGCCAACCCTCGTACCCGAGGTCGAAAAGGAACTATTAAATATCGGGTACATCATCGGGGGTGTGGACCCTCTTCACAGACGACGCTTCGAACGTGAAGGGGTCCGGGCTAGGCATCATTTTGAAGCCACCCACAGGTAATACAATTAGATATTCTATCAAAACTTCAAAATTAACTAACAATGAGGCCGAGTATGAGGCCATGATTACAGGTCCTGATCTTGCTAAGAGCTTGGGAGCGGAGGCCATCGAGGCCAAGTGTGACTCCCAACTTGTGGTAAATCAAGTCAACAGAACCTTCGAGGTTCGAGAAGATCGAATACAGAGGTACTTGGACAAATTACAAGTGTCTATACATTGATTTAAAGAATGGAGCCTACAACACGTACCTCGAGAACAAAATAGCGAGGCTGATGCCCTTGCAAATTGGGGTCATCGATCGAAGACGACGAACTTAGCTCGGGGACTATCGTACAACTTTGGAGGTCAGTAATCGAAGAAGGACATGCCGAAATAAACTCCACAAGTCTAACCCGGGATTGGAGGAATAAGTACATCGAATACCTAAAGAACGAGAAGCTTCCATCGGATCCTAAGGAATCAAGGACTCCACGCATAAAGGCCGCACAGTTCACATTGCCGAAGATGGAACACTGTATAGGAGAATGTTCTATGGACCGTTGGCGAAATGTTTGGGACCAGGAGACACCTACTATGTTCTATGGGAAATTCACGAGGGCACTTGCGGAAATCATTCCGGTGCCGAGTCATTGGTTCACAGAGTCATCAGAGCAGGATACTATTGGACCGATATGGAAAAAGATACAAAAGTGTTTGTTCGAAAGTCCGAGAAATGCCAAAGGTATGCGCCGATGATTCACCACCTGGAGAGCAACTCCACTCAGTCCTATCACCATGGCCGTTCATAAAATGGGGAATGGATATCGTCGGCCCCCTACCATCGGCCCTAGGTAAAGCTAAATTCATTTTATTTATGACTGACTATTTCTCTTAGTGGGTTGAAGCACAGGCCTTCGAGAAAGTCAGAGAAAAAGAAGTTATAGACTTCATCTGGGGCCACATTAATAGGATGCCTGCCGAGATCGTATGCGACAGTGGAAAGCAATTCGTCGGCAACAAGTGACAATGTTTCTCGAAGACCATAAAATTAAAAGGATCCTTTCAACGCCGTATCATCCTAGGGGGAACAGACAGGTCGAATCGACAAACAAGACCATCATACAAAATCTAAAGAAAAGATTGAATGAAGCTAAAGGAAAATGGAGAGAAATATTTCCCGAGGTCCTTTGGGCGTATCGAACAACGTTGAAATCCAGTACGGGGGCAACACCATTCTCTTTAGTCTATGGTGCCGAAGCTCTGATCCCGGTCGAAGTCGGGGAACCTAGCTTCAGGGTTCGGTATGCAACAGAATAGTCAAATCACGAGGCTATGAATACGAGCCTCGAATTGCTAGATGAAAGATGGGAAGCCGCCCTCGTTCGAATAGCCGCACATAAACAGCGGATCAAAAGGTATTACAACCGAAGAGCCAATCTTCGACACTTTAAAATAGGGGACTTAGTTCTGAGAAAGGTCACCCTTAATACTCAAGACCCAAACGAAGGAAAACTTGGCCCGAACTGGGAGGGACCGTATCAGGTCCTCTATATCGTCGGAAAAGGATCCTACAAACTTGGCATGATGTACGGTGAACAATTACCAAACAATTGGAACGTACACTCCTCAAACGATATTACTGGTAAGGTACGACCTTCTCCATTTTCATTTATATTTTATACTAACTAATTGCAGGTGTTCAATCGAAGAGATCGAAGGATTCTTCATCACAAAGTCCTTAGGTCTGAAAGCACGCGTTGCACACTTTTTCCCTTAGACCGGTTTTTATCCCAAATGGGTTTTTCTGTTGAGGTTTTTAATGAGATAACCATTGTTCGTGCTAACTTAAAGCAATTCAACAGTATCCGAGGCTTCTTTACAATCAAACTCGAATACAGGGAGGGGGGCCATCACCCTCTGATGTCGAATTTGTTATGAGGAAGATACTTTGTGTCAACTAGGTCTCGATAGGCTAAATTTTGTATGGGCCAAAATGAACCGTGCCCGTGTAGATTACTCGAGCTCTAAAGGCAAACATGTACGCATGTATAATTATTTTTCCTTGCCAAATATTTCATGCCTTAGAGAAATTTTTACTTTAATATTTTCATACTTTTGATCTATTGTGGAAACAGGCTTAAGGGCTGATCACAACTGAAGTTCAAACAACTTACCCTATACTCGAGGACTGCCGTCCGAAAAATCGACGTAATTGAATTATTAAAGTCTCAAGATCATAAGACCTTAAAAAGGCAACCCTCATTTTTATAGGCCACCCCACTCGGTGACTGACACTTCGAACAAGTTCAGAGTGTAACAGGGAAACGAGCCCAAGATGCAAATCCTAAGCTAAAGGCTATGACCAAACTGATACGGTTTGGAGACGTCCGAATTCCATAATAAAATAGGTCTTCAAATATTTTCGTAAAACCGGTTCAAAAAAGGCTACCCTCGACAAAATTACAAAGGGTTTCGATCACATCAACCCTCGAAAACCCTAAGGGGTACCGAATTGTTCGAACTCTCGAACCATTTTCTCTGTTTCATACTAAGGCATTACGAAACGAAGGGTTTCAATATCATCAGCCCTTAAAAACAATGAAATATGAGTACAGATTTATCTCATGCTAAGGCATAACAAATTTTTATGTGATTAACTTTTTAAGCCAAAAGGGGTGGAAAGCCTTATGTATATTAAAACGATCGTTCCACAAAGGCCACATCGGCCTAATACAAAAAAGCCTAAGGGCCACTTTCACTTCAAGTTCGAGGGATCATCCTCACTCAATAAAAACCTAAGGGTTACCTTACTTCGAGTTCGAGCAAATACTCACTCGACACTAGTTCAGTTTCAGTATAAAATTGTCTAGACCTCGAACCTATGAATAACAATTTCACAAGGCATAAATGAAGCTGAAATTTCATGAGAGAAGTGAAATGAAAATTCACAAAAGACAGAAAGAGATCTTTATATATGTTAAAAACTATTTACATGGGCAACATGGCCCGATCGGAACTCTATGCAAGAAATCAAGAAAATATCCTAAGTACTTAATCTTCTCTAGGAGAAACATCTTCACCCTCGGGGTCTTCTCCGATCTCGGATCCACTCATGCTCCCGGAATCATCATCATCAGAAGAGACCAATGCTTTGGCTTCAGCTTCAAGCTCTTTCGCATCTTTGATCTCGGTAGCGAGATCGAAGCCACGAGCATGGATCTCCTCGATAGTTTCCCTTCGAGACTCGCACTTGGCAAGCTTGGTAACCCAGTATGCTCGAGTCTGAGCAGTATCAGCAACCTCCTTTGCTCGAGCTTGAGCGGCTTCGGCATCGGATCGATAGACGACCACGATTGCCTCAGCATCGGCCTTAGCCGTTTCAGCCTTGGATTTCACCACCGCAAGTTCCATGACCTACCGAGCCTGGAGCTCCTCGATTTTCTAGGCTTGTCCCAAGTTCTTCTCTTTCATCACTTGGAGTTGGTTTTCAGCCGAGGATAACTGAGCTCGAGCAGCCTCTTTCTCTAAGGCAAGGCGGTCCATATTTTGCTTCCCCGCTATGGTTTCCGCCTTTACGGTATATACCTCTCCACGGAGTTGCCCGATCATCTCGTGCAGTTGCAGGACCTGTGACATAGAATTGTTAGCCACCCCTCCGAACTGAGGCCATGAGCTTCTAAGACTTTATTTGCCTGCTCGGTCAGTTCGCTTTGTTCTTTCTGAGCCATGGCCAGTTCAGCTCGGAGGCCCTTGATTTCTTCTACTTTTCGCCCACTCAAAACTTTAAGGGCCTTATTCTCATCGGTGAGCCCCTGGATATCAGCCTCGTAACGGCTCAGTTACCCTTGTAATCGGAGGAAAGCCTCATGATGAAGCACCGAAGCCTGTAACCATAAAAGGGAAAAAATTACACTAAGGGAGAAAAACCAAGTGCAAAAATGGATAGAAGAATCAGAGATTACCCGTCTTAAAGCTTGTTGGGCTTCGTAGAAAAGACAAGGCGCTTCCACCACGTCCATCTGGGCTCGATGCTCCTCTGTGACCAAACCCCAAAGATAGTTGGTCACCTGATAAGTTACAAGTACTTTGGGCATAAGTACTTTTCTTTATGTTTTGATGATCTAACAAACTTACCATCCAGAACCAGATAAGAAACCTGTTATACATTTACAAGACCTTAAAATCACAAGTTCCAGGTTGGGATCCAGCATGGGATATAACTCAACTCTTCAGAGCGGAAGGAACAACTGAAGGAATAGGTCTCTACTAGTTCCCGAGGAGACTGTATGAAGTCAACTCTCCAGCTAGAAAGTTGCTGCCTGCACACGCTACTGTACAGGAACAGTGCAGCAGTCAACTTTCTGTGGAAGGCTTTTTACCTATCTTGCTTACATCATTGTAAGTGATGTCACACATGTATGAATACAATCAAGGAAGGTAAAACAACTTACTTCATGGGAGAACAAGATAAGGAATCTTATTCAATTAAGTTCCATTGCATTCAGAATAACTAGTCAGATGTCTGGTTCAATTCTCAATGAAATCAGATAAGGAAACAGTAGAGGAACCAGATGGGGATCGGTTTCCCTCGTCGTTGTACAGTCAACTCTACAGCTGTAAAAACTACTGCACTGTACCGTCTGACAGGCTACTGCATTGTACTGTCTGGCAGCAGTACAGCAGCACAGTTGTAGCTTGCTAAGGCTAAACTAAAGGGCACTTTATTACATCATCCTTGATGACATCATACACATATATTATCAACATGAGGCAAAGGATTTGATCACTCCAACACTTGCAAAATCAAAAGAAAATATTTTCTCAAGTGCTAGACAGAACCTCTCTCAAGAACAAAGCTTGCTGCAACCTCAAGGACCAGATCCAAAGATTGAAGATATCTTAAATCCTTAGGTTTGTTGAGTCTTTGTTATTTGTTCTTCATTTGTAACTCCTACTTAGCTAAATTAGAAGCATTGTGTAGGAAACCCTTTGTAAATCATAAACCCTTGTGTTTGTGTCTTGTCTAGAGTTAGTCGAGTTGTGAAGTCTTTGTAATAGAGTTATTACAAAGTGGCTTGTAATAGTGTTGTTACAAGTTAGTGAGTGATTAAGTCTTTGTTAGAGAGTTATTACAAAGTGGCTTGTAATAGTGTAGCTACAAGTTAGTGAGGGATTAAGAGATTAATCCCTAGGTTACAATAGGTTGTAATCTAAAAATTGCTCAAGTAGTGAAGTTGAAATCCTACCAGGGTAGGTCGTGGTTTTTAATCCCGTAGAGCTGGGAGTTTTCCACGTAAAATTCCTCTGTGCTCTTTATTTACTGTCGATTTACTGTGGGAATAAATAGAGAACCGGATTCCCTATACTTTACAGTCTGTTGCTTACAGTAGGAACTGATAGAGAACCTGGTTCTCTATACAGTTTGGTGGACTCATATATTCAATCAATTGGTATCAGAATAGGTTCTTTCTAAAAGGTTAACATCTAGAAAGGATCTACATGGCTGCTCCACCAAACTTCGAGGAAGGACAATCAACGTACAGACCACCAAGATTCAATGTTCAATACTATGGTTAGTGGAAAACAAGGATGCATGGCTTCATAATGGCTTAGGACTCCGAGCTTTGAGATGTGATTTGTTATGTTCCCTTTATCCCAATGAAGGTTGTTGGAGAGGGAACAAGGACTGTTCCAAAACAAGAAAAGAATACAATGGTGCTGACCGAAAAGCTATTGAGAAGAACTTCAAAGCAAAGAAGATTCTTGTGTGTAGTATTGGACCAGACGAGTATAATCATATCTCAGCATGTGAATCTGCCAAGGAAATCTGGGAAGCTCTTCAAACGGCTCACGAGGGAACTACTCAGGTAAAGCAGTCCAAAATAAATATGCTTACAACTGAGTATGAACTCTTTAAAATGGAAGAGCATGAGTTCATTCAAGAGATGCATACCCGTTTCACCTCCATAATCAATGAGCTTCATTCACTTGGTGAAATCATTCCAACCAACAAGCTGGTCCGGAAGATACTCAGTGTTCTACCAGGTTCCTGGGAGAGCAAGGTTAATGCTATCACTGAAGCCAAAGACCTGCAGAAGCTGATTATTGACGAGCTTATTGGAAATCTCAAAACATATGAGATGAAGAGAAAGAAGGATCTTGAAAGAAGAGAGACCAATGAGGAGAGGAACCTGGTTCTCAAAGCTGCCCTCACTGACTCAAGTAGTGATGAATCTGAAATGACGTATCTCACTCGAAGATTTCAAAAGATGGTTCGTAAAAATGGTGGGATCCCAAAGAAAGGATGTTCCAGCAAGAATTTCAATGGAAATGATTGCTATCATAAGTGTAGAAAGCCTGGACACTTTATTAAAGACCACCCTCTTCAAAAGCAGGATCATTACAAAACTAACACTGATAAGGCAGCTACGAGGAACCCGGTCCCTGACAAGAAATTCAAAAGAAGAGATGCTGCTGACAACATGGTGAAGCAAGCTTTGGATGACTGGGGAGATTCCTCCAGTGAATCTGAAGGTGAGGATGACCAAGGAGATGCATCTATGATGGTTGTTGACAATGAATATGAGTCAATCTTTGCACTCATGGCTCAATCTGATAATGACGAGGACACGGAGGAAGATGAGGTATGTTTTCTTGATGTTCAAAGAAATTTAAAAACTTACTCTAAGAAAAAATTGATGTCCTTAGCAAATGTGTTGATTGATGCCTACCATAGCCTCATTAATGAGAAAAATGCTTTAATAGAAGAAATTGACGACATAGAACAAGAAAGGGATAATATGGTAGTTTCTATTTTAGATTTGAAGGAACAAGTGAAAGAAGTAACTAGAGAAAATAACTTGTTGAAAAGCCAAACGCAAAAATGGATGGACAACACTAAGGGTAAAGAAGTGGCTGGTAAGGCTCGACTTGAGCTTGAGAGTGAGCTTAAGAAAGTTAAAACAAGTCTTGTTGTTGAGCTTGAAAAGAATAGACAACTTCAGGAGGATTTGAAAAGGGTTAAAAATGATCTTGATAATTCACTTAATTGTACCTGGTCCTCTGATGCTATCACTGCTATGTACACCAACAATGGGGGAAACATGCAGGGAATCGAATTCCAAAGGGAAAAATCTCCCTACAACCCTCATAGCAAGTACATACGGTACCTGACAACTGGCTTTGCACTCACTGTGGCAATACTGGGCACTTTAAGGAAACCTGTAAGGCCAGATTCCAATCTCAACAGAAAAACAAAGTCTTTGCTGAAAAAGTAACTATTGCTAGGGAACCTGGTCCTTCACATAAAAAAACGTATAATGCCTACTTGGACCAAAAGAGCCCTAATTCACCCCTTTCCTCATTACAAGGCACCCAAACTCGTTTGGGTTCCTACGTCTAACTCCTGATTTTCTTGTGCTGGGAACAGTGAAAGGGAGTAGCCTACAATGGTACATGGATAGCGACTGCTCAAAGCATATGACTGGAAGTACAAACGATTTCCTTTCACTTAAGGCCATGCGAGGAGAGAGTGTACCCTTGGTAATAGCTAAAAAGGGTACACTCTAGGAGTTGGAAGGATTGGGAAGTCACTCACTCACTCAATTGAAAACGTGTACTATGTCAATGGCCTGAAGTACAATCTCTTGAGTGTTTCTCAGATATGTGACAAGGGAAATAAAGTGGAATTCTTGTCCAAGATATGCACAGTCACAAAACTTGTGACTGGTGAGGTGGTGCTTGTGGCCAAAAGATACAAAAATGTTTACGTTGCTGATTTTAAGTCTTTGCATGGTGGTGATCTAATATGCCTAAGTGTCATTGATGATGATGCTGAGTTATTGAGAAGATGACTGGGGCATGTGAGTTTTTATTTGTTGAACAAGTTGGTTATGGAGGACCGGGTTCTTGGGCTGAAGCAGTCAACACTTCCTGCTACTTGATTAACAAGTGCATGATCAGGTCCCTTCTCGAGAAGTCTAGCTATGAACTGCTCAATGGGAGAAAACTCAAGCCGACTTACCCGAGAGCCTTTTGATGCAAAATGTTTTGTTCTCAACAATAGTGGCAAAGGGTCACATAACAAACAAGATGAAGATGGAGAATTCACAAATGCTCCTGGTGAAGCTATAAATATTGCAAATGGAAAGACTAATTTGATGTGTCAAGTCAAGTAGAGCAATGTAGAAGATACAGCAAAATCTCTAAAAGGCACAGAGGGACCTGGTGCCTCGATGATTAGCTATGTTAAGAAGGAAAGGTACAATGCTAAAATGTGTTTTTCGGCGACATCTAACTCAAATCTATACTGTTACAGGTATACATATATGGCAGTTTCAGGACAAAAACAAGTAAGAGTGACATTGCACTTCTAGAAGTCTTTGCTCAGATTTTTAAAAACTATCAAGGAACCTGATTCTTGCGACTTAGGTTAGTGGTCTCTTCAATACTTATATGCCTTTTTAAGCTGCTAAAGTGTCATGTCATTAATTTTTTCCCTCCTTTCTCCTGCCTCTCTCCTAACTTTTGAAGTCCAAAATGTTAATCCTTTTCTGAACTGACCTGTTGCCCCAAAAAGGCACTTCTTTATCTTACACCCAACTAAAACCGATTCTTATCTTCAAAACCAAAACCAACCCTGTCTCAAAAAGAATCCTTCTCTCCAAATATGCCAGAAGTGAACCCAACTCTATCACTTTCCAAAATCCAAACTCCATCTGAATCAAAACCCTAAGAAGTCTTTGGTAGATTTTGATGGAAGTTTAACTGAAAGGGAACAGGGTAGATCTAATATTCTAGAGCGTGAGGCTGAAATTGTTGCTAGATTTGTGGAAGTCTTGAAGGATGGAGAAATTGGTAAATGTGCATGCTGAATGAGGGACCTGATCCCTCAAGTCCTTCTCAGGAAGTCAATTTTAATGATGATCTTTTTCTTTTTGAGTTCTGTGTTTAAACGAACTTTTGATCCAGTAAAAAGGATTGATGAAAAGTAGGCTGATTGATGATGAAGTGGTGTGACTTGCTGATGTGATTATGGAAGAGAGAATGAAGTGTAAAAAAAAGGAGAAAAGAAAGTTGGTTGAGAAAGATGCAGCAGATGATAAGGGTAAACAGATTGAGAAGAAGAAGAGGGAGACATGGCTGCTCAGGGATAGAAAGGGTAGTGTAAGCGAGGAACCTGGTTCCTTATAGAAGCAAAAGGTTGAGTCATCAGGTTTGGAGAGGTAGAAGACTCTGAAGTCTCAAAAAGTGCTGTTAGGCAGAGTGTTGACTCGGTTATTGCTGAAAAATGGAGGAACTTCTTGACATTGTTGAGTTCCAAAAATAGAATCACCTCTTTGTTCCTCCAAGTCCCAACTTTTTTGAAGAAGAAGTAAAAACTTCTATGTTTTATGTGCTACTCTGATGCTATATGTGCATGGGACTGAGTTTGTACTTGATGAGAAGAAGCTTAGGGAGATTCTTGGCACTCTGATTGATGGTTCAACCTACTCAGATAGGTTGAGAACTAGGTCCTTGTGGACCCTTGGCAGAATAGAATGCTAAGTTGAAGGGTGAGAATGAAAGATTGAGGAAACGGGTGGAGGAGCTGAGAGAGCAGATGAGCATTGATCAAATGAGAGTGAATGAATGAATGGACAAACTCATCAAGGCCTTGGACCCTTACTTCTCTTCCTGCCCAGTGATCCATGTCTTTCACTCCTTCCAAATCCCTCGAACTCCTATCTTTTTTAGATCCCTATATTTGATGACATTGGTACTTAGTTGTTTTGTCATATTTTGTATTGTTGAAACTACTGTGCTTTTATTATAATTACTCTACTATGGGCAATCACTCTATTTTGTGCAATGACATTCACTTGTTGTTCTTGTTATTGTTTATGCTGTGTTGCCCAAGTGGCATGAGTTAATGTTGCTGAACTTCTTTTTGGCTGTGCTTCTTCTGTTATTCTTTTCAATGATGCCAAAAGGGGAAAGTTATATAGGTGTCAACATGGGGGAGGAACAGCGAATTGATATGTTGTGTTATGCATGAAAGATAGCTCTGCTTCGTAGGGGGAACGTTGCTGATAATATGTTAATTATAGGTCTGATCCGCAGGAAAATATGTGAGGAATCTGGTTCTCAAGGGGAATATTAATTTTGGGTTTGTCATCATCAAAAAGGGAGAAATTGCTCTAAGTTACGCTATGTCATGTTTTGATGATGACAAACGTTCTCAAGGAACTGGGTCGACCAGGTGTGATCAGTACATGTAAGGAATCTGATTCTCAGGGGGAATATTAATTCTGGGTTTGTCATCATCAAAAAGGGGGAAATTGATAAGTTATGGTACTTTGAGTTTTGATGATTTGCCAAACAGTCTTGAAGAACTAGTTGTGATAAGTTCCTTAGGTTTGGTTCTTAGGGGGGATATGGCTGATTCGTAGGGGGAACAATATGGAGATCCGGTTCTCAGGGGGAATATCAATTCTAAGTTTGTCATCAACAAAAAGGGAGAAATTGATAGGTTACAAGTACTTTGGGCATAAGTACTTTTCTTTATGTTTTGATGATCTAACAAACTTACCATCCAAAATCAGATAAGGAACCTGTTATACAATTACAAGACCTTAAGATCACAAAGTTCCAGGTTGGGATCTAGCGTGGGATATAACTCAACTCTTCAGAGCGGAAGGAACAAGTCCCTACCAGTTCCCGAGGAGACTGTATGGAGTCAACTCTCCAGCTGGAAAGTTGCTGCCTGCACACGCTACTGTACAGGAACAGTGCAGCAGTCAACTTTCTGTGGAAGGCTTTGTACCTACCTTGCTTACATCATTGTAAGTGATGTCACACATGTATGAATACAATCAAGGAAGGTAAAACAACTTACTTCATGAGAGAATAAGATAAGGAATCTTATTCAATTAAGTTCCATTGCATTTAGAATAACTAGTTAGATGTCTGGTTCAATTCTCAATGAAATCAGATAAGGAAACAGCAGAGGAACCAGATAGGGATCAGTTTCCCTCGTCGTTGTACAATCAACTCTACAGTTGTAAAAACTACTGCACTGTACCGTCTGACAGGCTATTGCATTGTACTGTCTGGCAGCAGTACAGCAGCACAGTTGTAGCTTGCTAAGGCCAAACTAAAGGGCACTTTATTACATCATCCTTGATGTCATCACACACATATATTATCAACATGAGGCAAGGGATTTGATCACTCCAACACTTGCAAAATCAAAAGAAAATATTTTCTCAAGTGCTAGACACAACCTCTCTCAAGAACAAAGCTGCTGCAACCTCAAGGACCAGATCCAAAGATTGAAGATATCTTAAATCCTTAGGTTTGTTGAGTCTTTATTATTTGTTCTTCATTTGTAACTCCTACTTAGCTTAGTTAGAAGCATTGTGTAGGAAACCCTTTATAAATCATAAACCCTTGTGTTTGTGTCTTGCCTAGAGTTAGTCGAATTGTGAAGTCTTTGTAATAGAGTTATTACAAAGTGGCTTGTAATAGTGTTGTTACAAGTTAGTGAGTGATTAAGTCTTTGTAAGAGAGTTATTACAAAGTGGCTTGTAATAGTGTAGCTACAAGTTAGTGAGGGATTAAGAGGTTAATCCCTAGGTTACAATAGGTTGTAATCTAAAGATTGCTCAAGTAGTGAAGCTGAAATCCTACCAGGGTAGGTCATGGTTTTTAATCCCGTTGAGCTGGGAGTTTTCCACGTAAAATTCCTCCGTGTTCTTTATTTACTGCCGATTTACTGTGGGAACAAATAGAGAACCGGATTCCCTATACTGACAGTCTGTTGCTTATAGTAGGAACTGTATAGAGAACCCGATTCTCTATACAGTTTGGTGGATTCATATATTCTATTACCACCCCCACGGGGGCACCAAGAACACGAGCATCTTCCGGGATCGAGATCATGATAGTTCGCTTTCGCTCGGGATCAACACTAGGAGCCGGGAAAATATCGGTCAGTTTAGAACTCGAGGAAGCCTCACCCGAGCTTTTTCTTGGACCTCCAGATCACCCGAACCGGTAACATCGTCTACTCCCGCAAAGCATGGAAAAGATCCTCCTCTTTGTGAGCTCTTTCCCTGGGACCAACTTCCACGGCTTGAGCATCGGATATAAAAGAATCAGAGACTGAAGGAAACAAGGGGGAATCTCCAATCTCTATTAGCCCCCAAGGATCTTTTGAAGCACTGCCCCCATCTTGGGGAGCCTCGAGCTCGGCATCCATCACTTCTTCAGTGGCCTCTTTGCCCCGAGGCAAAACGCCTTCGATTCCTTTTGGCTCGGGGACTTGGGCCGAAGCCCCCTACACGACCTCATTGAGCTTAGATCGGGCAGCATCAGTCCCCATTGATTCTGAAGCTTTTCGAGCCCCGGTGCTAGCTCGTGTACGGGCTACCATCCAAGATCATCTTCCTTTTCTTCTTCTTTTTCACCCTCTTCGGGATCATCTCGTAGACTGAGAACTGAGTCCATTGTCAAAGGGATAACATTCCCCCTGCGGGTTCGCCTCTTTTTGGGCTTTTACTCATCCAAATTCGTGGAGCTCGATGCCTCTTCCCTTTTCTGCTCCTTCTTTTGTTTCGGAGCGGACGATTGGGGAAGGTTTTCTTCATCACCTGTTGGGGACCTCATCAGCACGTCTTTCCCAAGCCTTGTGAAAAAAGAGAAAATGAGATCAAAAGGAATTTCGGACAGTGATCGGAGTTATCGGGTTATACGAAAACTTACCATGACTTCGGGCCTCCCATCGACCCTTCAACAATTCGTGCCATATGCGCTCAACATGTGTCGGCGTCGACAGCAGACTCCTGACCAGTTCTCTAGATGGGAAATCGCA